GAAGCCTCAGCTACATTGGGCAGGCAATGAATGGGAAGTGCTCTGTACTGATTGGTAAAGGGCTCTTTTAGGTCAAGGGCTCAAACCAGTAAAGTCAGGCAATAGGAAGAAGGGTCAGCCGCACACTGGAGGATAGATGAATATAGTCTCTGATGGGGTACTGCATTGATTGAGTGCTGCTTTGAAGGAGTGTGAAGCAGTTAAACACAGCAGTTGAACTAAAGCAGGAGAACTTAAGCAGCAGGAAGACACAACAACAGCAAGAAACTCTACTGCACGCTGGACAGACTGCAAGCAATCACCCTGGGAAACCTCTCTTACATACCTGAGTCCCACTCCGTGTACTTTTATTTAATATGCCCCCTCTTCTCCTTATCACCTTATCATATTACTATCCTCTGTTCCCAAATCTCATTTATTTACCCCTCTGCTCCACCCCAAAACTTGTACATCTCCCCCTCATTGCTATCATCTCCCTACTACTGCTCTCATCACCTCCCCAAAATGCCTCTTCCACTCCTCCTTCTCATTTTCCTCTCCTCTGTTCCCAAAATCCATTCACTATATCCCTCTGCTCCTCCCAAACATTTGTATATTGTGTGCTCACTACTTCCTTCGCCCCTCTACGGCACCCACCACCTCCTCCTATTACTCACTCTCCCACTGACCCGAACACCTCCACTAGTAGTTTCTCACGCTCCTGCACATCCTGCTCCCATGCCACCTTTCTCACCTTTCTCCTCCTCCTAACCGCGGGGGACATCTCCCCGAATCCTGGCCCTCCATCACCTCCCTCACCCACACAACACCCTCCCGCCTTCACGTCCTGCTGCAACCCCCGTAACTTAGTATCTGTCCCCCTGCTCCCTAAAATCTCCCCCCATTTTTATGTGCACTCCTGATCGCCCCGATCGGTGTGCAACAAGCTTATCGCCATCCACCACCTCTTTGTTTCCCGCTCCCTCAACCTCCTAGCGATCACGGAAACCTGGATCCAGGCCACTGACTCTACCTCCCCTGCTGCACTCTCCTACGGAGGTCTCACCTGGACCCATTCACCCAGGCCTAATGGTCGTAAAGGTGGTGGGGTTGGTCTGCTCCTGTCACCGCAGAGCACCTTCCGAGTCCTCCAAAACCCCCCCTCCCTATCCTTCTCCTCCTTCGAGGCCCACTGCATCCGACTATTCTCCTCAACCCCCCTGAAGATTGCTGTGATATACCGGCCTCCTGGATCCATATCCCGCTTCCTGGATGACTTTTCCTCCTGGCTACCCTTCTTCCTCTCCTCTGAGCTACCCACCATCATCCTTGGGGATTTCAACATCCCTGTCCACCTCAACAACCCAGACACATCCCATATCCTCCACTTAACCTCCTCCTTTGCACTTGCACAGTGCATACAATCCACCACCCACTCCAACGGTAATATCCTTGATCTCGTCTTCTCCAACCGCTGCGCTCCCCACAACCTCACTAACACCCCCTTCCCTCTCTCTGACCACAACCTGATTACCTTCTCTATCTCCTCGTCCTCCAACGCCTACCCCTCCAAATGTCACACTACTACCAGCCGTAACCTCCGCAACCTTAACCCTGCCCCCCTCCACTCTGCAGCTGATCAACTGCACAACAGCATCCTCCCCCTGTCTTGCCCGACTTGGCTATGACTGCCTACAACAACGCGCTGTCAACAGCCCTTGACTCACTAGCGCCTTTAACTACACGCAACATCAGACCCCGACCGCTCCAGCCCTGGCAGACTGATCACACCAAAACCCTCAAACGACACAATCGTGCCCTGGAGCGACTATGGCGCAAAACCAAACTCTTCTGCACCTTCAACTCTCTACTCTCACCACCCTCACCTCCACCCAGCACCTCACTCACTGCCCTTGAGATTGCCAATCACTTCAAAAACAAGATTGACACAATTCGCAAGGACATCGCCGCAACTCACATGCCCTCTCAACCCGTTCCCTCTCACACAGCTACCCCCTCATCCCCCCTCTCCCTTGACATAACCCGCAGGGACTTCGTCGCTGCTCAAACTCCCTCCAACCCCGTTCCCCCTCACTCAACTACCCCCTCATCACCCCTCTCCCACGGCCCCACCACTGCTCTGACCTCCACTTCCACCCCACCCTACATTCTCATACTGAAGCACCCCCAACACTCCGCACCTTTGACCTTACTACCATCGAGGAAGTCTCCAAGATCCTTTCTGATGTCCGCCTCACCACCTGCCCCCTCGACCCTATCCCCTCACAACTCCTACGACCTCCCTCCCCCTCCCATCCTACGCTCCCTCACCCACATCTTTAATCTCTCCCTCTCCTCCGGCACTTTCCCCTCCCCTTTGAAACATGCACACATCACCCCCATACTTAAAAAGCCCTCCCTGGACCCCAATGACCCGAACAACCTCAGACCCATCTCCCTGCTCCCATTTACATCTAAACTCCTCAAGCACCTAGTCTACACCCGCCTAAGCTCTCACCTCAACGACAACAACCTCCTCAATCTCCTACAGTCCGGCTTCCGTCCCCTACACTCCACAGAAACCGCCTTACTCAAACTCTCCAACGACCTGCTAACCGCCAAAGCTAATGGCCACTATTCAGTGCTCCTACTCCTTGACCTCTCTGCGGCCTTTGACACAGTCGACCACCCCCTCCTCCTCAAAAAACTACACTCCCTCGGCCTCAGAGATTCTGCTCTCTCCTGGCTCTCATCCTACCTGTCACAACGCTCTTTCAGCGTTACCTATAATGCTACCACCTCCCCCTCACTCCCCCTCTCTGTTGGGGTCCCTCAAGGCTCTGTCCGCGGGCCTCTTCTCTTCTCCATCTACACCTCCTCCCTTGGCCAACTCATACACTCTCATGGCTTCAACTACCACCTCTATGCCGACGACACACAAATCTATCTCTCAACCCCCCACCTCACCCCCTCAGTCTCCGCCCGAATCACACACCTACTGAGCGGCATATCAGACTGGATGTCGCTCCACTTCCTTAAACTGAACCTCTCCAAAACCAAGTTTCTTGTCTTCCCCCCAGCCAGGACACCACCCCCCATTGACTTCTCCGTCACATCCAACAACGCCACCATCAAACCCGCCCCGCAGGCCAGAGTACTTGGTGTCATTCTGGACCAACCTATCCTTCCAGCCCCAAGTCCAATCTTTAACAAACTCGTACGGACTCCACCTCCGCAACATTGCCAAAATCTGCACGTTCCTAACCCCAGAAACCACTAAAAAGCTCGTCCACTCCCTCATCATATTACGACTCGACTACTGCAACTGGCTATCCCCGCTTCAGTCGATCCTGAATACGGCTGCCAGACTCATTCACCTTTCCAACCGCTCCATCTCCGCCACCCCCCTCTGCCAATCCCTCCACTGGCTTCCGATTGCGCAACGGATCAAATTCAAAATCCTAACACTGACGTACAAAGCTGTCCACCATACTGCCCCGTACTACATCACTGACCTAATATCCAAGTACCGCCCAGCACGCACACTCCGCTCCTCACAAGACCTCCTTCTCTCTAGTTCCCTGGTCTCCTCCTCCCATGCCCGCCTCCAGGACTTTTCCAGGGTGTCACCCATCCTTTGGAACTCCCTGCCCCAACTCATCAGATTATCACCTACTCTCCTCTCCTTTAGGCACACCCTGAAAACCCATCTCTTCAGGGAAGCCTACCCCACCCCCTGCTAACCTGCCGACCTCCTCCACTCTTCCTACCACTCTATCCCCCACAGCTATCTCCTCCTGTGCCACCATCCCCTCCCTCCTAGATTGTAAGCTCGAAAGAGCAAGGCCCTCGATCCCCTCATGTTTTGCATTGTATTGGTATTGGTACTGTTCTGTCACATGTTCTGTCCCCCTTTGTAATGTACAGCGCTGAGAGAACCATTGGCGCTTTATAAATACTGTATAATAATAATAATAAAGTGTGTATTTATTGATCCATAGGAAACACAAAACACCAGGACATGAATACAGGACCTGTTAACGCGCTTCACACGATCTCGTGCTTAATCATCTGGTTATGGTTAAGCATGAGATCGTGTGAAACACGTTAACAGGTTCTGTATTCATGTCCTGGTGTTTTTTGTGCCCTATTGATCAATAAATACACACTATATTCATCTATCCTCCAGTGTGCGGCTGACCCTTCTTCTTATTGCATTGTGTGGTGGCAAGCCAGAGCCTGCACCTGTTGTGGATTGATCTGGATTGTTTGCCTGAGCGGTATACCTTTAGTTTTTTGGATTCAGTAAAGTCAGGCAACAGGCATTTTTATGAAGAAGTAAGCAATGGTTGCCTATATGTTTCTCTTACTAGAGGTTACTTTTAAACAGTCATTTAAAAAAAGTAAATATACTAGACGCTGCCTTCCCCTGTAAATAAATCTGATGTTCAGTACATAATGATGTAAGTCCGCTCCCAAACTAGGATAGTGAAGCAGCCCAGCAATTTGACTCATTAACCTCCCTAGCGGTCTGATTATGTCCATATTTCTGTGCTCAATGCAGTATATTTTTTTGCATGGAAATATGTTGTTTTTTATTGTAGGCCTGTAATTTTTAGGAATAACTCAATGAAATCTGTCCGAACAAGAGTCTAGTAAACATCCCAGGTATGTTAAATTTGAAACGCAAAATCATAAATTATAATTTAATAAATAATCATAAAAAATAATATAATAATAATAAATTTAATTCAATAATATAATCAAACCAAAAACATTGAAATTTGAAATAGAGCGCCAAGTTCACACATCACTGAGCAAAGTTGCAAAATCGTTTTCAGTGTCTGATGACGAATTTCCCCACGAATCATTATCACTCAATTCTGCAAGTGGTTCTAATTTACTAAAACCGCTTTTGACCTAAAGGGACGCTTTTTGGACGCCATGGACATTTCTTAGTTTCCAGGCAGAAAGAACAGTAAAAATGCAGGCAGGGCACAGGACAAAGCACTAGGGACAAAATGTATGTGAAATGGTTTAATACAGTAATGTAATACTATCAGATTTTAGTGAATGTCACTTTTTGTCATTTTCCAATTTCCCGCCGTTCCGTCCCCCATACGTCCCAACGTCGCAGGGGACGGAACCCAGAAGGCAGATGCCGGCTTCCCCCGGAGGACATTGCCGGGGACACTGCAGGAGGGACATCGTTGGAGCGCAGGACAAGGTAAGAGAAGAACAGATCCCGGAGCAGCGCTGCATGGTAAGCCCGAGTGTAGCTCGGGGTTACCGCTTGTGGTACTGAAACCTTACCCCGAGCTACACTCGGGAATACCGCCAGGGAGGCTACAGTATAACTAAAGGCAAAATGGATTGGAGCACCTGTCAGATTTTTTTTTATTGCTGTGTTTGTCCCTATTAGAGCCCATTCACACTTGTGCAACTTGTCATGCAACTTTGGGGTCCAAAGTCGTATGACAAATCGCACCCTATGTTTCCCAATGAGTACCATTCATATCTGTGAGACTTCAAGTTGCAGTGACTTGAAAGTAGTTCCTGCACCACTTCGGTCCGACTTTCATGCGACTTGAGGGTCAATGTAAACACTCCAAAGTCTCATGAAAGTCACATCTGAATGCGACCTGTGTGCAACTTTGTACAGCACAAACAATCATCCTTGGGCGACGCCAAAGTCGCACTCATCCAAAGTCGCATCAAGTCACGCTGTAAAGTTGCAGTGAAAATCAAATGATTTTGAAGTTGCACAAGTGTGAATGGAGCCTAAAGCTGGCCATACACATATAGATTTATGTTCAATAATTTTCGTTTCAAGAATATTCGTTTGATTTTATAATCGTTAGTGGGGTCAAATCAATGTTCATTTTTGACAGCAGTGATGGGAAAATTCGAAGGAGCTGGAAGGAAAACTTTTCTGATCAAACTAATTTTCGGCCAGTGTACTGTATGTGGTTATTGTTCTGAAATTACATTAATTTTAAAGTCGAATGTTAAAAGCAAAATACAGTCTTCAAACGACATTCGTCCATTCATTGGATGTTCAAAGAATTTTCGTATGACTTTTCTTATGAATATTCTTGTCCAAAAATCTACACGTGTATGGCCAGCTTTAGGGGGATTCACCCTTTCTATTTGTCCCATTTATCAGTAGCACCAAAAATAACAGTAAAAGAAAATCCCAAATTTTGGGTTTTCTCCAGAATTTGAATACTGGTGATATTTTCCAATGGAGCAGGGGCGGACTGACCATTTAGGCTCTTGGGCACTGCCTGAGGGTCCGGAGTCAGTAGGGGGCCCCATGAGATGCCCCTGGTACCTTTCATAGGCTTTTTTGGGTGTGGTTTTAGTGTGGGCGAGGACACAGGGGCCCCATGATTTCCTATTGCCCGGGGGCCCCATGAGTTGTCAGTCCGCCCCTGCAATGGAGACAATTGTTCTGGTGATAATCAGGGATCATCTCACTTTAGAGGGATTTCCTTTCCCTTCCTATTGTTTCTATGAGACAAAAAGTGAAGGGAAATTTCCCCAATGGGACACAGGGTAACAAAAGTAAACCCTACAGGGGTTATAGTCTTCCCTTACTCTATCCAAAATAATAATAAAAAAAAAAAATGTTGTCTTTATTTCTTTAATTATAGGCTAATAATGTATTTTGGGATTGGAAGTCCCATCTGCAATATGTTTGCACAGTGGTCGAGTTCTCAAGCAAAGGCATTGTTACAGTTTTGGCCTCCCTTCCTACACTAATATTGCCTCCTTTCTCTTTCTATACATCTACTGCCCTTTGTGGGCAGAGGAAGCACAAGGGAGGAATGCCATGCTAGTCTCATCCTCTGGTGTTCTTTTGGCTCATACTGGATCTTCATGCTCACTGAGGGAGGTTCGTTTAGCACTCTGATTGGATATTTCTGTACATGGTGCGAGTATCTATACTATATTTCTGCATTCTGGGGATGGGGGAGCCTTTCGGCTCCTTATGGCTTTTCATACAATAAGAGATTCTTTTCCATACAGTGTGGGTGGGGAGCAGTAGTGAGATAGTTACTATCACTCTGGTGTCAAATACCAAAGTAACAATAATAGGAGAGTTCACAACACAATCCAAGGATCAGGGAAGCAGAAACCATGGAAGGTTATACAATAGAAAGTGTTAGATGTAGCTAAGTAAAGTTTATTTTAAAAAGTACAAGTCAATTGGGTACAAAGCAACCATCAATTTTGGCATGTGTGTGCACTGAAACCTGCCAAATCCAGCCCATGTCCAATGACCTGGGCAATTGTTGCTGCACTGGGTCCAGTTATGGTGACATTACTTGTCCTCGAAATTATTTTTAGTTTAGTTCTTCATCAAGAGATGTTGTTACAGCCTAAAGGCTTAGCTACTGTGAAGAAATAGTTAACATTCTTTAACAAAGACATCTATAAATCACTTCTGGAAATATTTTCTTTCCCATTTTAAGATATACCATATGTGCAACTTTTTCAGTGTTTACCTTTAACTTTAAATGATTAAAAGTCAAATCCACGTGGAAAAGATGCTGGCATTTTTTCATTGCAGAGTCAGATATGCATCAGGTTATATATAATGTTTTGGTGTTTAATTGCCAAGAATTTCCAGCAATATTGTGTCCTCATTTCATCCCAAAAGGTCTGAGCCACAGTATCGCTCTCTTGCAGCTAGACTTCACAGTCATAGAATTACATGGGAATCTGACACAATCATATGGATTTATTATGGGTCTGGAGTACTGGCAAGACTGGGAATTCTGTAGGTAATATCTCACCATTAGCATCCCAAATCCCTGAGAGATATAATAAATAAGTAAATATATTTCTGCAGAGTTGGCCTTTATCATGAATGATTCAATGAGATCTGAAAAGCATCTTGAAAAATGTTGGCACTGCATAAAAATGATAAAGAATTGAAACCCTTTGTCTTTTAATTTTCTCTTACTGGTAGCTCTCCATCTATTGTACAGTATTTACTTATTTAAGGGAGAGAGAGAGGACTGTCTATGGTTAAGTGCCAGTTGGTGTACTTGGATCCAAAAAATCCATCCCTTCTTCTGACTGACATCAAATTGGGCCAAGACTGTTAAAATGTATTCCCATCTGCGTCTGATTAATGTGCAGCTACTAAAAAGCAACGCCTGTCTGAGGGAATCCACACAGAACATATTCTGTTAGACTAAAAGTTTTGCTCATTTTTGTGTGTATGGAAACAGTGCTGCAATTTCATTTTATTCAAATATCATAATATAATGATGGCAGTTCTGAAAAGCAATGCAAAACTGTGCCCAACCGTGAAGTATATATAAGGCCATGTACTTTGTTGTGAACTTGTACATTGCCTATCTGCCCATGGTGCTGTTTTTAATTATCTACTGTCTGCTTTTCAGATGCTTTGTTTTCCTGTAGGACTGAAGGGGAATGCCCTGTGTACGTTTCAGGTTCCTGTGATCATCGCTTTCACAGAGATAATGTCTCTCATCACCATGTGATGGTATCGGTACCTAGAGAGTAACCTCTTAGGGCCAAAGCTCTGCATTGTGAGAAAAATTGGAGAGAGTATGTTCTCCATAGCCAGAAGAACTAGGTGCTTCTCTTTGTGTGGCCACAGGAAAATAAGTATATACAACAGATAGGGATGGCATTAAAATGCTTGTTGCATTGTCCTGTATAGGCAAAGCACATGTTAGGGGATGGCCAGACTGGGTGTAGGGGGGACTTTGCTCCGTTGGCTGTTTGCAACAATATGTGTTGGGTTTATGACCTTGAGTGGAGATACTTCACCATCAGTTGGAGTGGGATTTGCAGCCAGTGACACAGGCTGGGCAGAGAGAAGCCTTTCTTGACATCTCTGGAACAATATGTGACCATATGCTAAGAACTGCAAGAAAACTGATGTTTGAAAATTTGAAAGGTTCTGTCACGATAAACTATGTCCTTTAATATGGTTATAAACCTCTGAAATGGAACATAAACAAAGCATATCCTTCTATAGTGTGTACTTGCCTCTGCCCTAGTGTGATTTATGCCTCCTCTTTCCTCTGCTATCTGCATGAGTCACTTCTCACAGCCTATGCCAACAGACAATCCAGGGAGACAACCCCTTCCCCCTTCAGCATATAGCAGATGTTTAACATCCTCAGCTGTGCATGTTTCCCTCTGAGACTGTGCAGAAAAGGGTATGTTCTTTCTCTCCACTCAGGTCTCAAATTACACTTAGCTCCCTGCTCTATGCTGTGTAGTGTATGACATCAGATCCCCATCCCCTGCCTTCAGGAGCTGAGAAATACTGTCTAAATTCTGTACTTTAAATGGCTGTAGAGGAGAACACTGTTGATAAGCAGGTACAACTTACATAGAAAGATTTGTTTAATCTTTGTGTATCACCTGAGACTAGTCACTTTCACCAAGCTGTATTCTCTGGGAGCAGCATTGATCTCGTTAAATAGACAGAAGCCCAACTCCAGGGACACAGAGTCAATAAATTGCTGACAGGTTTTAACTGTTCCCCACTCAAACAAAATACAAAGTTTTGGCTGGTGTTATTGTTGAATTAAGGTTACCTCACCAAAATCAGCTTTTATTGTGGCAGATTTTGAGGAAGAAAGCTTTATGCCATCTGATTTAGCAGCAAAGTATTACCTCTAATGAAAATGCTGCTAAAAGAAGTGTCACTACAGAATTTCTTGCAAAGAAAAACTGTCAGCTGAAAACAGTTAATAAAATGTTCCTCTTTCACATTTGAGCTCAAGTGTTCTATTTGAAGAGCACTTCTGCTATAGAGAGGACTGCCTGCATTCAAATGCAAGCATTTAGGAACTTGACAGTTAAGGCAAGCTTTTGATGTTTCAAACCATACAGATGTTTGTAATACAAAAAGATAATAGTTAAAGTGAATCATATGTTCAAAACTTGCAAATAAAGAAGATATGGCTGCAGAATTAAATAATTTGTTACCCCAACATTTCATATTCCTGCTATTTGGAGACAAGATTGGTGATGTAATTGGGGCAGAGTTTTAAATGGCTTTATATGTTATTGTTAATGTTTTGAATTTTATTCGTTGGGCAATGGGAAGCCAGTGGAGGGATTGGCAGAGAGGGGTGGCAGATACAGAACAGTTAGTAAGATGGATGAGTCTGGCAGCAGCATTCATGATAGACTGAAGAGAGGATAGCCTGCAATGAGGTAGGCCAATAAGGAGGGAGTTACAATAGTCAAGGCGAGAGATAACAAGGGAGTGGATAAGTTACTTAGTGGTTTCAGAGTTTAGGAATGGGCATATCTTGGAGAATATTGGATTTGGGGCTGAAAGGACAGATGGGAGTCCAGGATTACACCTAGTACCCTGGCATGAGGGGAGGGACTGATGGTTGTATTACTGATCTTGATGGAGAAGTCAGGGGAGGGGGCACGGGCTGGAGGGAATAGTATGAGCTCTGTTTTGGAAAGATTTAGTTTGAGGAAGTGGAGTGACATCCACACTGATATGTCACTTAGTAGGCTAGTAATGCAAGAGGAGACTGAAGGGATGAGGTGAGGAGTAGAAAGATTGATTTGTGTGTCATCAGCATAGAGATGGTACTTAATGCCATGGAAGTTTATCAAGTGACCAAAGGAGAAGGTGTAGATGGAGAAGAGAAGGGGTCCAAGGACAGGATTTTGAGGGACCCCTACAGAAAGAGGAAGTGGAGAGGAGGAGACAGAGTTATAGGTAAAGCTGAAGGAGCTCTGCGATAGGTAGGAGGAGAACCAGGAGAGAGCAGAGTACAGAGGCCAAGAGAGTGGAGTTTTTTGAGGAGGAGGGGATGGTCAACAGTATCAAAAGCCTCAGAGAGGTCAAGTAGTAAGAGTATGGAGTAGTGGCCATTGGTTTTAGCAGTTATTAAATCATTAGTGAGTTTTAGTAGGGCAGTTTCAGTGGAGTGTAGTGAGCGAAAACCAGACTGTAAAGGGTCAAGAAGGTTGTTGTCATTGAGGAAGGAGCTCAGGCGATTGTAGACTATAAGAGTTTAGAGGTATACAGGAGCAGGGAGATAGGTCTTAAGTTGTTCAGGATGGTGGGGTCCACCGAGGGTTTTCAAAGTATGGGAGTGATCTGTGCATGCTTTAGAGGGGTGGGGAAGGCACCGTTAGAGAGGGAGAGATTGAAGATGTGAGTGAGTAGTAGTTTGAGAGGGGACAGGATCTGTGGTGAGATGGGCTTCTGAGAAAACTTTAGTGACCTCTTCAGTGGTAGCAAGGTCAAAATAGAAAAGTGTTGAGGGAGGATTAGTATAAGGTATGCTAAGTGGGATAGATGTCTGTGCAGTGGAGATGCCCCTATGAATTGCATCAATCTTGTTTTTGAAATGATTGAAATGATTTGCAATCTCATAAGCAGTGTGTGAGTTACTCGGTGGAGGTAGAGAAAGTAGAGAGTTAAAAGTAGACAAGAGACAAGGAGGACTGGATGACAGCGTATTAATAAGAGTGAAAAAATAGGCTTTTTGAGCAGCATGGAGGGAGGAATTGTATGTTAAGAAAGCAGATTTATATAGGTGAATGCTTGCTAAGATTCGGTATTACACCACAATCGCTCCAGTGCACGGCTATATTTCTTAAGATTTCTGGAGTCGTCAGTCTACCACGGTTGTAATGGTCGGAGCTTGATACTCAATGTAGTTAGAGGAGCAAGTGAGTCTAGTGTGGATGAAAGCAAACTGTTGTAGACAGCAGTGGCCAGGTCAGGGCAGGACAGGGGAGAAATTCTGTCATAGCGGCGGTCAGTTGCAGAGTGAAAAAGAGAAGGGTTTAAGTTGTGAAGGTTTCTGCGGGTAATTGTTTGCTGCTTGGAGGGATAAGTGTTCGAAGACGAGGACACTGTAAAGGTGATGAGATTGTGATCTGAGAGAGGAAAAGGGGTGTTTGTGAGGTTGTAGGGAGTACAAAGATGGTAGAAAACATAAACAGAACTTTCTTTTGGTAGTATTTGATCACCACTGGGTTTTTTTGTTGTGATATAAATGAAAAAAGATAGAAAATTTTGAAAAAAAAACCCACAATATTTTTTACTTTTTCCTATAAAACATATCCCATAAAAAATAGTAGCATTTCTTCATAAATTTAGACCAAAATGTATTCTGCTACATGTCTTTAGTAAAAAATACCAATAAATTCCCTTTGCAGGGAAACAAAAACCGGAACATCCCCGCTGTCAGTAGAGAGATCTGTGTTGTTTCTTAACCTCCCTAGCGGTATGATTATGTCCATATTTCTGTGCTCAAAGCCGTACATTTTTTTGAATGGAAATATGTTTTTTTTTTATTGTAGGCCTTTAATTTTTAGGAATAACTCACTGAAATCTGTCCGAACAAGAGTCTAGTAAACATCCCGGGTAGGATAAAACTTGAAACATGAAATCATAAATTATAATTTAATAAATAATCATAAAAATAATAATATAATAATAATAAATTTAATTCAATAATATACCGTATTTTTCGCACACCATAAGACGCACTTTTTTCCCCCCAAAAAAGGGGGGAAAATGTCAGTGCATCTTATGGAGCGAATATGGAGCGGCCGGTCCGGTATTTCCACTACCGCCGTGTCAGAATACAGGGCCGGCCGCTCAGCTCTACAGCGGGACCTTATAGAGATGACTGCTGACCTTTGGGGAGGGGGGGGAGCGGGTACCTGAATTTGACAGATACCCGCTCCCACTTCCGCGGAGTTGTTCTTTCATCTTACCCGTTCCTCTATCCAGCGACGCGGTCTTCCCGGCTTCTGTAGTGTGGGCATGACAGCCGGGTGCCAAGTGCGCATGCGCAGGAAGCGGTGCTTTTTGTGAATGGTAAGGCGGCACCTGGGACACATGACAGATCCCAGAAGCCGCCGGACCAATCACAAAGCGCAAGTGCTTCTCGCTCATGCGCACTGGGCACCCGGCTGTCATGCCGAGTGCCATTACAGAAGCCGGGAAGACAGCGTGCGGCTGGATAGAGGAACAGGTAAGATGAAAGAACAACTCCACGGAAGTGGGAGCGGGTATCTGTCAAATTCAGGTACCCGCTCCCCACCTCCCCAAAGGTCAGCAGTCATCCCCTGTACTATCCACAGTCTCTGGTCATCCCTGTGCTGTCCGCAGTCTCTGGTCATCCCTGTGCTGTCCGCAGTCTCTGGTCCCTCCTGCGCAGTCTGTCATCCCTGCGCTGTCTGCAGTCTCTGGTCATCCCTGTGCTGTCCGCAGTCTCTGGTCATCTCCTGTACTGTGGCCGCAGTCTCTCGTCATCTCCTGTACTATGTCTGCAGTCCATTAGTTCAGAATTTTTTTTTTCCTGTTTTCTGCCTCTAAAACCTAGGTGCGTCTTATGGTCAGGTGCATCTTATGGAGCGAAAAATACAGTAATCAAACCAAAAACACTGAATTTGAAATATAGCGCCATCACTGAGCAAAGTCACAAAATCGTTTTCAGTGTCTGATGACAAATTTCCCCACGAATCATTATCACTCAATTCTGCAAGTGGTTCTGATTTACTATCGCTGTTCTCTAGCTGGTCTAAAACCGCTTTTTACTTAAAGGGACACTTTTTGGACACCATGGACGTTTCTCAGTTTCCAGGCAGAAAGAACAGTAAAAATGCAGCCAGGGCACAAGACAAAGCACTAGGGACAAAATGTATGTGAAATGGTTTGATACAGTAATGTTTTACTATGTGATTTTAATGAATGTCACTTTTTGTCATTTTCAAATTTCCCGCCGTTCCGCCCCCCATACGTCCTGACGCTCGCAGGGGACAGAACCCAGATGACACATGCCGGCATCCGCCGCATTACATTGCTGGGAACACTGCAGGAGGGACATCGCGGCAGCGCAGGACAAGGTAAGTGATCGAGGGATCCCAGAGCAGCGCAGCATGGTAAGCCCGAAGTGTAGCTCGGGGTTACCGCTTGTGGTACTGAATCTTTACCCCGAGCTACACTCGGGAATACCGCCAGGGAGGTTAACACAGATCTCTTTTCCTGCCACTAGCTCTGACCTTCAGTGGGTCCCGGCCTGGAATCATTGACAGGGACCCACTGATCGGCATGTCAGGGTGGGTAGGCGGATGCGTGCACGTGCCCCCTACCCGGAAAAGCAAAACCATGTATACAGTTATATATATATATACTGTAAGCGGTTAAACTCAAAACCAAAATTGTAATAAATTGCAGCTTACCAATCATTAGATATAGTGACTATATTAGTTTTCTTTTTTTGTCATTTTTCCCTCTGTTTTCCCCTGTTGATCTGGCCAGTAGTACACCTCCTGTATTCTGCAGACACCACTCTGGAGGAAGGAGCACAGAGGGAACATTTCAACAGCAACACTGTCAGTCTGGGGGGGGGGAGTGTTAGAACAGGGGTGGGCAAACTTTTTGACTTGAGGGCCGCAATGGGTTCATATATTGGACCCGGGGGCCGTTCCAAGAGTAGATGAATGATGTGTATGTGTCATCCATAGTAAGTATAGTAATATTCCCCCATAGTAAGCATAGTAATTAATCCCCCATATAGTAATTCATCCCCCATAGTAATTCATCCCCCATATAGTAATTCATCCCCCATAGTAATTCATCCCCCATATAGTAATTCATCCCCCATAGTAATTCATCCCCCATATAGTAATTCATCCCCCGTAGTAATTCATTGTCAAGGTCCTACCTTTTCCCTGAGGTTTTGTTACTCCATGTGCTGGCGTCCATCTTGGATTCTGCTGTGCATGGTGGGAATCCTTTTATGCCTTCAGGTCTCTGAGGTCCATCCCCCAGAGGGGTGTGGCATGACATATAAGCCTGTGGCCCGCACATGCTCTTTGCACTTGTGTCTTGTGTCTTGGTCTTCCTACAGCTCTGTGTATACGCTCGTGACTCTTCTGGTATTCTGACTCGGCTTGTGATTAAGACCATTCTCTGTGTTTTCCTTCGATCTGACCTTCCGTTGCTGAACCCGGCCCGTGACCTGTGATTCTCTGTCTACTGTTCTGTACCGTTTTGTCCCGTTGTTGTCGACCCAGCTTGCCTGACTACGCTATTGTCATTCTCACCAGCTACACGCCATTGGCGGCGGCCATTACCGCAGCCAGGGTGTCTCGGGGGCCGCGACCTGGTTCCTGGCTGTGTCAAGTCCATCCCCACCATCAGGGGCCCTGGTGAAGGGCAGCCTGGGACTTAGACTCCGCTCCCTGAGGGACTTCGGTCTGTTGGTGGTGGTTGTCGTCAGCCAGTACGTTACCCTGCCACTGCCTACTAGGCCTACCTGTCCCCCATATAGTTCCACAGCCCCGCCCTGACATTCATCCCCCATATAGTAATTCATCCCCCATAGTAATTCATCCCCCATAGTAATTCATCCCCCATATAGTAATTCATCCCCCCCCCATATAGTAATTCATCCCCCATAGTAATTCATCCCCCATATTAATTCATCCCCCATATATATAGTATTCATCCCCCACAGTACTTTCCCCCCCCAAGTAGTAAGCCAAGTCCCCCCTGTGTCAATTCACTTACCTTTGCTCCGCGTGTTCCTCTCGCCGTGTTCCCGCGCCGTTCCGGTCTTCAGGGCGGACTGTGAGAGGAGCCTAGCTCCCCTCACGTTCGTCACGCTGCCCCGCCTACACACATCCTGACAGCCACATCCGCGGGCCGGATTAAAAGGTCCGCCGGGCCGTATACGGCCCGTGGGCCGTAGTTTGCCCATTGCTGTGTTAGAAGCACCAGCCGACTTAAATACAGTAACATGTTGAAGCTGAACGCCAGCTAATACTTTACAGTACATTACAACAAACAGTTTTTTTTCCTTTTGTGATAAAGGTCTTACATGAATAAATAAAAGCTATATAATAAATTTTAAGCACCCCCGTCAGTGTTAAATGGTCTGTCTCATCCCTGTAACCGCAAGAGAGCTTTTCTGTTGAAAAAGGACTCTCTTACTGGCTGGGTTACTAGATGAAAATATAAGGAAGAAAGCCTAAAAAAGGAAACTAATATAGCCACCACATCTAAGAATTAGTAAGTTACAACATAATAAATGTTTGCTTTTGGGTTTAATACTGCTTTAATAGTCGGGAGGGGCTGTTCCACTCTGCAGGAGTGAGAGTCCTGAAGGTGTCCTGCATAACTGTGAATTCGTATAGTGCCTGCTAGAACTACAATGGTTTGAAACCCAACCAAATTGTAAATTAAAAAAAAATATTCTCAATATACTGTATGTACCTTAAGCAGGTCCATCCACTATGAAAAGGAATCATACTTTACAATTAAGAAATTATGACAGGATTTCTTGTATAGAACCATATTTTATTTTGCACAGAATATTAAAATTTGCATAGACATACAAAATATGGCAGTTATACATTACATAGCTGTGACAATAAATGCACAGGTAAGGAAGGTGAAATTCAGATCATGATTGGGCTCTTGAAGCGTTTCGAGACAACAGGTAATCTCTTCCTCAGAAGTGCCTAAATAGGGCATGATGCCTATAATAGATATATGATTATGATTACATTGCTGTATACATCCATTTGAAGTTACATTCACAAATATATGAAGGTCACTTACATAACCGGGCATTGAAGCAAAAATGGAAGAACCGCCACTTATTAAAACCAAAAATCATATGTGTAGCCACTGTCTCCCAATTCCTCCAAGGTAGGTGAAGGAAAAAGAGAGGTAAAAGATGCCACCCCAGTAGCCTCCAAGGGTGACCACTTCACATCATATATTCCATATATTTTCTTGTGAACAAAGACGTAGAACCCATGGATATCTACAGAATACCTCAACCACAGTACGGCGATGAGACACTCAGCCGCAGTAAGACATTTGAATGATGTAAAAGTTTCAAGATGGCCATACGTTTGTCAGTGATGATCCCAGCCATGGTGGTTTCCAGCCTACAGCAGTCATTCCTGTGAACATTAGATGCTAGGAATGCCTGATCCTGAATAATCGACGCATAACCTGTCATGAAATTGCACTCTTAAAAGAGTTCCTCAGATGTCAGCATTTCAACTCTGATGACGAAGCGAAGCAGGTTATTCTAGGATGGTTCAGGCACACTGGTGGATCTTTCTATGCTGATGCTTTCCAGGCATTAGTTAAACACTGGGATGAGTGTATGAATGTAGTAGGGAGTATGTCAACAAATAAATGCAGATTCCTCTCCTTGAAATTTGTTTTTTTATTATATAAACTCAAAAGTCCTGGGTTGACATGAACGCCTCATGTATATGATATAATTTGATATTGGTAAAGAAGGATACCGTTTGTAAAAAGCAATCAAAGGCAGTGTGGGTGCTTCAGAGGACTTATAGGGCAGTGCTGCAACAAGGTCCTGTGTCATGTATGATAAATGGTCCCCCAGCCACCATTTTATCTTGTTTCTGATACATTAATCTGACCAGTTTCCACCTAGTACATTAATCTGGCTAGTTGTCCCCCTGACTCAGATGCCTGATGGTCATCTTAAACCTGAATCCCTGCTTTGATTTCAATCTATTACTCAGGTAACACATACCAGATTAGATTTAGCAAATCATACACCTCTAGCTAAAAAAGGAACATGAACACATACTGTAAATAGAGCATAGAAAACAATGTACAGATATTTCTAATGTATTTCTTTAAGGCTTGCTAGCAATTATAATCCTTTCCAGTTTACCACCACATATTTCTATATGTATAATAAATGAAGACTCATTTTATAAAAATGTATTTATATATATTTACGAAAAGTAAGAGAAAATATCTGGACATGAGAGAACTTTGTGCAAAATCGCAAAAATATTAATAAACAGATCTTAGCTTAAGCTTAGCTAGGTAATAGCTTCTGTAGTGAGAACTCTATACACTAGTATAGTGCTGAATTACATTTCACATGTGGGAGGTGGTAGTAGCCTCCCTGGCGGTATTCCCAAGTGTAGCTCAGGGTAAAGTTTCAGTACCACAAGCAGTAACCCCGAGCTACACTCGGGCTTACCATGCAGCGCTGCTCCGGGATCCCTCGATCACTTACCTTGTCCTGCACTCCCGTGATGTCTCTCCTGCAGTGTCCCTGGCAATGTAATCCAGCGGATGCCGGCATCTGTCATCTGGGTTCCGTTCCCTGCGACGTCAGGACGTACGGGGGACGGAACGGCGGGAAATTTGAAAATGACAAAAAGTGACATTCACTAAAATCACTAAAATCACATAGTAAAACATTACTGTATCAAACCACTTCACATACATTTTGTCCCTAGTGCTTTGTCCTGTGCCCTGCCTGCATTTTTACCATTCTTTCTGCCTGGAAACTGAGAAACATCCATGGCGTCCAAAAAGCGTCCCTTTAGGTCAAAAGCAGTTTTAGACCAGCTAGAGAACAGCAATAGTAAATCAGAACTACTTGCAGAATTGAGTGATAATGATTCGTGGGGAAATTCGTCATCAGACACTGAAAACGATTTTGTGACTTTGCTCAGTGATGTGCGAACTTGGCGCTATATTTCAAATTTCAGTGTTTTTGGTTTGATTATATTATTGAATTAAATTTATTATTATATTATTATTTTTTATGATTATTTATTAAATTATAATTTATGATTTCGTGTTGCAAGTTTTATCCTACCCGGGATGTTTACTAGACAATTTTTCAGACAGATTTCAGTGAGTTATTCCTAAAAATTACAGGCCTACAATAAAAAAAAACATATTTCCATGCAAAAAAATGTACCCCTTTGAGCACAGAAATATGGACATAATCAGACCGCTAGGGAGGTTAAAGCCAAGACCATAGTGGGATGGAGTAGAAATGTGTTGCGTATCATAGCACAACATTCTGATAAGACAGAATGGGGGCATCTTGGACCAATAGGCAATATGACTGGAGAAGTGACAGTTTGTTGGCTGTAATATAGGCTTTGTTGCCCACCCATCTCCCACCAATGCACCCTTGGCCACCTTATCTAAGTCTACCTATTGA